AGTGCAATCCTTAAAAAAAATTAAAGTAGGTTTTTGAAAAAAACCACGGATGGGGTTGATACTCTCACGAAAGTGGATGTTGAAATAGTTTTCAAGTGCAAGCCTCAACATTGACCAGGGTTGATACTCTCACTGGATGTTGTTTTTTTTTAAACCATTCTGATTGCTTTCAGATAATGATAGGAATGTCACACTGTGAACGAAATTTAGGGCCTCACCACCCAAAATTCCTTAGGTTAGCAGTGGATAAACTGCAGCAGCTAGCCTTTAGAATGATGATGGTAACATGTGAGTTGGTTAAGTTGAACTACAGGAATGTGATTGATAGAGATTGCTCCTTACAGGGTCCACACACTGGTCAGCCATTATTATAAATTTGAAGAATTAGTTGAAAAAAAAACACACACACAGAAGACCCTTACACATACACACACACACCCCCCCCCCCCCCTTTTTCCACTTCTTCACTGAGGTAACAGGAGAAACAGATTAGAACAAGGATGGACATTCCTTGGTGAGAAGTACAGGTGACCACGAACTTCATAATTTGTTTATTTTAGTTGAATAATTAATTAACTGTTGTTATATATGATATGTTGATGCACATTCTATACGGATGCCCCTGTGTTGATGCACATTCTATATGGATGCCCCTGTGTTGATGCACATTCTATATGGATGCCCCTGTGTTGATGCACATTCTATATGGATGCCCCTGATGACATTTACAAAAATAAAATAAACAGGCAGTAAATTGTGCGATCTCTTGCGTTGTCTTCATTGTTTCAGTTCACAATAGGAAAACTATTTAAATTTCACAACTATGTAAAACCATATTCCTTAACCTTCTGACCCCATAAATGCTGATGTCTAAGCTTGTCTGGTTAATTTTTGACATGCTGTCTTAGGTTAGTGGTCTTTCTTCTTCTTTACGTCCTCTTTTACCGCTTTGGATGTCAAGGAGATCTGGAACAGGACACTGCCACAGAGCAGCAACTTGGTTGATACATGACCCACTGACAGGGCTGCCAATGGGACTTTCTTGAAAAACCCAGCTAGGTTGAACAAAAACCCAAGCAATACAAAAGCAAAGAACAAAAACAAACAAAAAAAAAAAAAAATCCAAAACTCAGATTGTTAAAAAGTTCAAATGTTATAGTTTCGAAATGAAACATTTACCCACTTTTATATATAAGGATTTTTTTTTAAAAAAAACCAAGATTTCAAAATTTAAACCCAAGGCATCAAATAAAAACCCAGATCTGGGGGCAAAAACCCAGCATTGGCAGCCCTGGACCCACATTCACAGGACAGGTAAACAGTTCAGACTTCCACACAGCACGTGGACAGCACCTGCGACCTATGGACGGGCCAGGTACACAGTTCTAACTGCACCACAGCACATGGACAGTACCTAGGACACACTGGATCGGCCCTGTAACCGAAGTAGTAGGCCATTATTACTTTGGCCAGCATCTTAAAAACTTGGACAATATTAATGTGCAACTTTCCACTCTGCAAACCATTTATTGGTCTCTTCAGTACACACTCTGGTGTGTGCCCTAACTCCCTAGTATGTGCCTTTACTCTCTAGTATGTGCCTTCACTCTCTAATATGTGCCTTCACTCTCTAATATGTGTCCGTACACTTTCAATGTCCTAACGGAACTTCTGGTTCCGACATTGATAGGGAATGGATGACGGTTGAGAACTTGGCTTATGTTGACCATTCTCGTCGCCGTTTCTCCTCCAGTTTCGATGTTGCAAGATTGTGGAAGTCCGGTTTGCAGCCGGAGCTATTGAGTTTAGTGCTCCTGGCGGCACTATGAGCTGTGATTATCGGGTATTGGCAGAGTTCCAAATTCGTTAATAATGGCAATGATGGGTGATGTATTTTTCTTCGTTGTGTTCTTGGAACAAGGCGTGTGCTATAGCTGCTATTTATTTGCTGGCCGAGGCTTCAACTTGGCCGAGGACATGTGGAGAATGGACAGGAATACTTTTAATCTACTCATCACCCAGCTATTTGTCGAATAAGGTTGATTTTCATTGATGACTTCTGGTCTCCCAGTATGTCTAAGGAAGCAGGCACCTTATGGTTTGCCAGATCAAATCGTGTGTGTTATATTGACTTAAGGACACAGTTGTATGGCTACGGTTTCACTTGAAGTATCCAGCCTATCTGACTCAGTTTATGACTGGAATCACTGGCAAAAACGGTTGAGCAATTATGGGCCAAGCTCCTTTGCTGTGACAGAACCGTAACGACTAACTAACTAATGTCCTTACGGCTCCTTCTTTAGCTACGACGCTCAGATATAGTGATAACTACCCTACCACTATAACTACATTGTTTATCTACCTTTCCGAAAAGTATAAACAGCTACTGTAATCATAACAAACCAAACCATTTATGGAATAGGCCGAACACCCTGGGAATCCGACACTTAACAGTGTCCTCAGGACTCCTGGTGAACGACCTCTTTTAAACCACTCCACCGATTGTCTCGCCATTTTCCTCATCTACAAATACCCCCCGTCCTTCTTCTCTCCACCTTTTCTCTGTTATGCTTCTTCCTCCTCAATATCTATAATAAATATACACATGGCACAAAATCACACGTGTACAACGATAACATAAAATCACACGTTTCAACGTAGGAAGACTTGGTTCAGCCTTCATCACATTATAAATGACGTGAAACACAACGATTAGATCAAAAGAGATGTCGCCAAACATGAACACTAGACTAAAAGCCAACAAATAATTAATAAACTAACACTGACAACAAAGCCTCATAAAAATTGGCACCACGCAATTTTCAAGATTCCACGGTCATTTTGTTAAGACTGGACGATGGAACTGTTCACCCTACCAATAATGTCACGGCCTAAGATATGTTGAGGCCTTAACACTTCACACCACTGAGTTGAGTCACTAACGAACATCACAGCAATTGGGATATTTCCATAAGTGCTCCATCTTTGTCTTCAGCAGCCAGTTCCAGTTCTAGGGATGCTAGTAGTAGCCTGTATGTCTGTCTTGCCTTGAGTGTCAGCTAGATTCCCTAGTTACTCCCTGCTGATCCCCTGGTCACTCCCTGCTGATCCCTATAGTCACTCCCTGCTGATCCCCTTGGTCACTCCCTGCTGATCCCCTGTGCACTCTCTGCTGATCCCCCTGGTCACTCCCTGCTGATCCCCTTGGTCACTCTCTGCTGATCCCCTGGGCACTGCCTGCTGATCCCCTTGGTCACTCCCTGCTGATCCGCTGGGCACTCCATGCTGATCCCCTGGGAACTCTCTGCTGATTCCCTAGTCACCGCCTGCTGATCTCCCTTGGTCACTGCCTGCTGATCCCCTTCCTGCTGGTCCCCCTTGGTCACTGCCTGCCGATCCCATGGTCACTCCATGCTGATCTGCTGGGCACTCCCTGCTGATCCCCTGGGCACTCTCTGATGATTCCCTAGTCACTGCCTGCTGATTCCCTAGTCACTCCCTGCTGATCCCCTTGGCATTCTCTGCTGATTCCCTAGTCACTGCCTGCTGATTCCCTAGTCACTCCCTGCTGATCCCCTTGGCATTCTCTGCTGATTCCCTAGTCACTGCCTGCTGATTCCCTAGTCACTGCCTGCTTCACCATTCTATCCAAACTGTAATGATTTGTGTGTGGGTGTACTTCTGCAATGTCCATTAACTATCTAAGAGCATTGGACCACATCTAGCTCATCATGCAACGAGCAAACTGGCTGGGCCTTGGTGGGTACAGCAACAAAAGCTATGGACCGGGCTGACATTCTCAGTGCTCTCAAGGAGGCAGGGCGAGAAGATGATTCAGGAGTTGACGACTTCGGCAACACTCAAAAGACTACATGAATTTCAGGTCAAAAAATGTGTCGCCAAACATGAACACTTTACAGGTAGCCAAAGAAGAATAGTAAACCAACACAAAACTGGTGTTAACAGTCGCCACACGCTGGGGGATATACTGAAGATGGATCCAAGCACTTATGGACTTGTCCAAAGTGCAATAAGGATAATTTGTTGATTGACTAATTAGCTTATCATGTATAAAATTAACAGCAACCAAAATGTGCAGAATCAGCCAGCCTGCCTGCCTATTCGTTTTCTCAGGGGTACTTCATTTATGTGTATGACGCCTGATTTTGGTTTGGGAGAAAGTGTACAGGAAATATCGAAAGGATGCTGACTACTGGTGACCAGTGAAGCGATGTTTGTCACTTTGCATGAAGAATATCTGTCCCCACTTTTCCCAGCATACTTTGTGAGTCTTACCATATGTGTGCAGCGCACTCTCTTAAGCCAAAGGAAAACTGCAGTGACTGCCTCCATCTCCGTTCTCAAACTAAATGCTGGGGAATCTTATGCCAGGCTTTATTGTACTCAAAGTAATGATCTTTCATTCACTTTTGATAATAACCTATAGCACTTGTCCTGCCTCTCAACCCGGATAGGAATTGCTGTGAATTAGTTGTAGGGCCAGTCACAACTGTAGGCACAGCCACATCTGTAGGCACAGCCACATCTGTAGACATAACCACAGCTGTAGACCCAGGCCGGCAACTGTAGGCCCAGTCACCATGTAAGCACTACCATATAGGTAGGCACAACCACATCTGTAGGCACAACCACATCTGTAGTTACTACCACAGCCAGTGGAAAACTCACAAAAATCAACAAGACAGAAAACAAATGCAAACATGAATAGCAACACCTTTCTACCGTCATTTTCACAGGCAGGTGTACAAGATATTCAGGTTTTAATTGGTACTTTTAATGGCAGCCATATTTTCACAACATAACACCAACGTTTTAATAGTTAATTATTAATAAGTGGTAGTTTGATATTAAGGCATCAAAATTAATGAAAACATACAACATTGTTAGATCAACATTCAACAGTGCGTGTGCATTTTCACAATCAGAATAATTCCTTCACATACACGTTTTGTTTATCAGTGTCCACTTCAATGTCCACTTCACTGGTCTTTGGATCCCAGACTTTTGCTGACTCTGTGCCTCAGCCTCATTGTCAGCTTCTTCCAAACGGTGTCATCCTTGTATCTGAGACTTGGGCCTGAGTCTCCCTCAGTACCGCCATCGATGCCATTGTTTGATTCGTAAGGCACATGGTCGCCATGGCGGGACCTCAGGAAAGATTCGTATGAGCTTTGTTCAGAATTGACACTGAGAAATATCTCGCTCTCATCCGTTAAGTTGGAAGCAGACAAAGACTTGGTGATGGTTTTGCCTTTGGTTCCAAATTTGGAATCTGCGTAGCTAAAGCTGCGAACGCTGTTCGTAGTGGGAACATTTCCTATACTCTTTCGCTTATTCTTATTGGATGTGTTCTGTTTAAATAAATTTTTAGGTTTCTGGGTTGCTGATTTGGACTTCTTGCCTAAAGTGTTCTTGGCTTTGGAATCATTTCGAAGGACTTGTTCCTGTTCTACTTCATCTTCACTCAGATAGTGAGAAAGATCTGCACCTTCATAGACTTTCACTGGAACTTTTGGCTTTGTCGGCTTGCGCTTTTCATCTTCTGCACCATCACTATGGTCTGTATCTTCGGAGTTAAAGTTCAAGGTTTTCTCTTCTTCCTCATAATCTGGAGGAGGTATGAACACTCCTGCAGGCTCATAGATACCTTGGCTATCTGGATCTATCTCATTTACTTCGTAGTCATGAAAGTCGGTCACAGTTTCTGGCGGGGTGGTTGTCATGATCAGTTCATCAATGGAAGGTGGAAACACTTTCATATAATACAGGGTTAGTAATTCCGTGTGGGAATTCCTGGCTGCTTTGTCGCAGCAAATTTGAGGTGTCCGATGAGGTGGAATGTGATAAAGAATTGTTGATGATATCACTATTGTAATCATCACTGATAATTATGGAGTTGTATATACCGGAGTCCATAGCCTGATGTTCAGTGTTGTTGTTACTGTCTGCATCAAAATCATCATCATCATCATCATCTGTGGTGCCAAGAACCATTGGTACATTCTTATCACCTACAATCCAAGGCTTTTGGCTGAGTGGCTGAGGTTTCATATCCCAAGTGTTTTGTTTGGGTTCCACCTTTGGACTGGTCAAAGGTGTCGGCACATCTCTGGTGTTTGCGTCCTGTATCTGAAGGAAATCCATTTCTCCACCAAGAATTTTGGGTTTGTAGCCCCCAAACCTTTTCATCTGAGACGGGCCATTGCTCTCTGTTGGGGACAGCTCTTTCTGCAGCTTCGAATCCTGGTGCAGCTTCGACTCCTGATTGTCAACATGTTTCTTTCCCATGGACTGGCTACTGAAGATTTCTCGTACACCTGGCCCTCGTGGCATTATTATCTACTTTTCCTGTACGATTGATACTGATTTGAATTCTGGATATTGTAGAAATATTGTAAAGAAGAGAGGTTTCTGTTAAGTGTGGTTACTCGTGATGTTTGACGTCTGCACTGCTCCCTTGGAACTGTATTTTAGTATTCATGACAAAAGGCAAAAAACCGGATATGTTGTCATGGTGTTTTCTGATTACTGATGCCAGGTTTCTTAAAGTACCTGGGTGGTGAGAAAAAAAAAACAAATTTTTATTATTATTATATTTAGAAAGTAAAATATCAGCAGCTGCCTGCATATTATGAAAACGTTATATCTCTATTTCTCTGCCCTTACCCTAGTTTACCCACTCTTACACAATCACACTGCCAGTGCCTGTATCTCAAGGTGACCATATTATCTTGATCTGAAAACGGGACATCCCATATCTTGACCTGGAAACAGGACATCCCATATCTTGACCTGGAAGTGGGACATCCCATGTCTTGACCTGGAAGTGGGACATCCCATATTTTGACCTGAAAACGGGGACATCCCATATTTTGACCTGAAAACGGGACATCCTAAGCAAATCAGTTGAACCTTACCCCTATTCTTCTCAAGTGACCGGGGTGAAGGGGTTAATTACTCGTTCAACAATGGTATTAAAACCTAAACTTTTGTCGCCAAGAAAGCAACAAAATAATATTATTCTCTGTAACTGCACTGATACAGAAAAAAAAAAAAAAACATGTCCACAATAAAAATATCCACACACACACAAAACATCTCAGGCACTAAAACACGTAAAAATCATCGGACTGTCCTGGTGAAAACGGGAGGTGTCGTTACCCAACTGTCTCTCCATGTTCACGTGTCAGTTCAGTCTGTTTATTTACCAGTTAATTTATCTAGACATTTTTGTATCTACCCATCAGTCGATCCAGTCATCTTCACTTTGTCATGTGTGTGCCTGATCATATATTTATCTAACCGTTCGTTCCTCCTGTCATCTGATTATATTATCATCAATTTATCCAGCAATTTTGTCGATCATTGATTATATTTCTTTATATTTATTTAGTCGTCCACTTATGTAGTTTTTCCCCTTATGTTTACCCAGCAATATTTGTATTTCACATGTTTACCGAGTCGATACATTATCTGTGTAAATATTCACATGTTTTATCTAGTCTGTAAATAAATTTTCTATTTCTTGAGTCATCAATACATCTATCTTGTAAATTTAGTTTACCCAATCATCCATCTATTATGTATATTCACATGTTTACCCAATCATCTATACATCTATCTGTGTAAATATTCACATGTTTACCCAATCATCTATACATCTATCTGTGTAAATATTCACATGTTTACCCCAGCCAACTGTTTCTTGCGCCAACCAATTAATCTTCTTATTATTGACCCCGATCACATGTTTACCTCCGTGTAGATTCACATGTTTACCCAATCAAAGTAAATATTCTCACATCTATCTGTGTTACCCAGTGTGAACCTAAATACTTGCTAGCGATCCTGCTGCTTCTTACATCACCCATCCTATACCGATCGACAATACAAAAAAGCAATACAAAAAGAAAGAAAAATACTGCGTTCCCACAATATGCTCGATGAACCTCATGAGAACTGATTTACCAAGCCCCAGACCGTCATTTCAGAGCTACGGTGACAGCCTCAATCTGTAGCTGGAACTGGCTGGTATTCAGGATGTTGGTTGAAAAAGTCATCGCTCTTTTAGCCGGACATGAGTTATATTGCCTTCTTTAAGCAGGGCATACGTTCTGCGCACACGGACACATGACTGCTTTTTATCATTTAAAGAACAAATGTCTAAAACATATCACCGGCTAACGAAAGCAGATTATGTCTATTGTCTTCCTTCTCTTCTTCTTCTTCTTCTTTTCTTCTTCTTCTCTGCTTCTCCTCATCCCCTCCTCCTTTTTCTTCTTCCTTTTCTCCTGCTGCTGCTACTTTCGCCATTTAAAGGCGGCTGGCACGCTGTGTTTTCCGGTTTACAGATAAGCTGTGATATCAGCTCTTTTGGGGTAATTCTTCTTTAACAGCATGTTAGGCTTCAACGATTCCCCCCCCCCCCCCCCCCCCCCCCCCCCCCCCCCCTCCCCTCCCAACCTCCCAAAAAAAAAACCCGGGGCCCTCGAACCGATACAGGGATTCCATAATGTAAACGTGTGCCTAGACATGGAGATAAGTTTTGATAAACATGAAACAGGGAGAGTCATTATATATTATGGCCATGATATGAGGCGGGAAAATGGAATATGTTGCAACAATCCGAATGATAAACACAGTCAGAAAGTGGCACCAACGTCAGAAAACTGATCAAACGGAATCATAGAAAAAGAGATTGATAACACTAATATATTCTATTTGACTTCTGTGACTGGAGTTTGGGCCGATTCACCTAACCGTACAACTGATATCGATTCGAGCTGCCAACAAGAATTCAATGGATAAGATCGTACAACGATTACTGCTGATAGAAATCGAAGTATACTTTCACACACACACACACAGGTATTTTATCGATCTGTCGGATGGTACAAGGCACAGTTAAAATCCTTTACAGGGCGTGACAGAACCACTCTTAGCCTGTCCTGAGTTTGCCATTGCCACTGTAAGATCAGCGCCCCCATACCACTCAACATAAAGCGGTCAGCTGCCGAACCACCCGCAGCTGGAATCTTTCTTCTTCCTGTGGCGTCTCACTGATACCAGGTTGTAGCCCAGTAACAGGGTTTTCACAACTTGTCTTGCACTTCTCAGGTGTTTTGGGTGACAGATTGGTTCATCTTTTTGCAGCAGGTTTGAGCTACACTATTTATCCATATCTTTTTTGGTCTTCCTCTTGCCTTCCTCCCGGATATTCTGGTGTAAAAAAAAGTCTACTATGCAGTTTGGCGTGGCTGCATTCTCACTAGATGACCGAACCATTTCAGGCGGAATATAAACTGGTATTTAGAATAACGAAGTGCGTTTCCTTACTCCTAAGTCACAGAATCTGACATATAGCACACAGTTACTGAACATCGTATTTTTACGTTAATACGACGATATGTTGTATCATTTGTGTGTGTGCGCGTGTGTGTGTGCGCGTGTGTGTGTGCGCGTGTGTGTGTGCGCGTGTGTGTGTGTCTCAAATTTAACATACACGGTAAAATTTAAAAAAAAAAGGTAAAGTACCCTCTTCAACGCCTTTAGGCTAATGGGCATATAGGACTAGACCCATATTTTTAAACCAATCGGCACTTGGTGGGTGATGTAGTCAACGTCACGCCGGCCGCCTTTACTTCCCAGGACTAGACCTAGTACCAACTCAAGGCTGGGTGGACCTGGGACCTTATACACGGAATGTGTTTTAAATGTATGCTACAGTTGAACTCTTTCAGCCCCGGGTGGTTTCAAAGTAGAAATCCAATTATGTACAATAATCACAGTGAAAAAAAAAAGCATCCGTGTATGACTTTCAAAGATACATCAAATACTCTGCTGCATTTAAGATTTTTTTTTTTTTTTTTTTTGCCAGTTCTTCTTTATGGAGCGGAATGCTAGAGAATGAACAAAAGGGATGCACACAAGCTATCTACCTTCCACCACACATGTCTACGTAACATTATCAAAAATTTTCTGACCAGATACAATCTAAAACACTAAACTACTTCAATCCACAAACCAAGAAACTTTAGACAATATGATAACCAAGAGAAGATGGAAATGGCTTGGTCACATTATGAGAATGAATCCTGATATACCCGCCAAAACAGCTCTCACATGGACACCAGAGGGAAAGAGAAAACAGGGGCGCCCAAAAACAACATGGAGAAGAACGATGGAATGTGACCTGAGTGCGGCATCATTGACATGGAAACTTGCAGTAAAGATTGCACAGGACAGGAAAGCATGGGCAGTCCTCTCTGAAGCCTCATGTGCCACTAGGCACAACGAGAACTGATGATGATTTAAGATATTTGACCAGATTTCTTTTGCACAACCAGGTCAAATACGAAATCAATAGTAAACCACTATGTGCTGCGTTGATACACATATGTAAGCTGTGCATACAGAGTGCTTTGTTTGGGCCCGAAACAGTGTGGGAACCGGGGTGTAGCGTCTAGATGCTCGCCTACGAATCCGAAGGTCAGTGTTCTCGTCCTGACAGAGCTGATTTTTTCTAAACCATGACCTTGGCTCCCAGGTCGACCTAGTCTTAAATGGGTACCAGGTAAACTTGTGGGGAGTAAAGGCGGCCGGCGTAGTGTTGCCACATCACCCATCTAGTGCCGATTGGTCAATAAAAGATGGGTCAAGCTTATATTCCCAAAAGGCCTGAAAGCGTGGAAAAGGGTTCTTGACTTGTGCTTGACCTAATGACCGATGACCAGCAACCATGAGACAGTGATCTGCTCATGGAATATTAGTTGCTGTTCAAGTGCCTGGCGCTACACAGCGTTTAGGTGTGTTACAGTGGCCCAGTTGTGTGGTGTTGACTGTAGACCAGATGATGACAGGGGCGCCGGCTGATAACAAT